GACCTTGAGAGATGATATCCCTTGACTTTTAGGTCCATACCCGAGATGCCGAATGTCGAGTTATATACTGCTCATGCAAGGGCCGTTCGACAAATGACAGATTGTTTATCGGAGACTGACATTACCTTATCGATCGGTGACTTTAATCTTCCTAATCTGCGATGGCATCTTGGCGATGACAATAATGGTTTTATTCGTTCAAACGCCTTGACTGATACTGAGAGAAGCTTTACAGAAGCTATGTTTGCCAATGACTTGAGGCAGATTTATAACAATGTCAACACGAACGAAAGACTCCTGACCTGGCGTTCACCAATCCCCCGGAGTATCTTGACCTGATTTCAGCACCTGCATCGCTGTTACATGTTGATAACCATCACACACCAGTCATCATACTACTTGATGAGAGTGTTGTACCATCCGTACTTGGCGATCAAGACAAGTGTTTCAAATTTGACTATTTGGAATGTGACTTTGACTTGTTGAATTCTATTTTTATGAATATTGAGTGGGAACGAATATCAAGTTATGCTTCAATAGACCAGATGTTATCAGCTTTCTACTAATCTCTCTCTGAAGTTATAAATCATCATGTGCCTCGAAAGAGACAAGCACCGATTTCTGCTTTCAACAAACCGTGGTGAACTGCAGAGCTACGTAGAACGTAGGACAATCTACGTAAGCTGCGCAACAGGTTTTTCCATACGAAAAAAAATGTGCCCGATAAAGCTAGACTCTAGCGGTGCCGGTGGTGTAGTGGTAAGCGTGATTATCTCTCACCCCAGCAGGCCTGGGTTCAATCCCAGTCGGCGCTGCCGGGATGTTCTGAGGCATAACATCTCTGATCACGCCTTCCTTCGGTTCATGAGTTGATGGGTCGATAGGTAGGGTCCAGTGTTGGCAAAATCAGAAATCAATTGATATTTTTCCACTCTCATGCGCTCACAATATCACGCGCGATATTGGAACAAAATATCATGCTTGATTTTGATTTTATAAGCTCCTTTGATATTGCGAGACTATTCGCAGCATGCAAAAATCAAGCTGAAAGTTGACTCGACACAAAAATGATTCCGTTGCACATCGTTTTCTTAGAAAGAGAAAGCATAGTTTGTTATCTCTTTTAACTCTTCACCGATGGCAGACACGACTGCTGCCAGCCGTTATGGATGTTTCGGCTGCATTCGGGTGTGAAGCAAAAATCATGAAACTCAATCTCACCACAGTTTGTTGAGATTTGCAGCTGGTGAGTTTTGTTAGCTTGATATTCCGAGCTGCGATATCACAGCTTGCAAAATCAACCGCAGTTGTTTGCTTGTTGATTTTTGTCTACGAAAATCAAGCGTGATCTTGGGCGTTGGTGGTATTTGATTTTTTGATATTTTCCCAACACTGGTAGGGTCCAGGTGTGGGAGCTGCCTCCCTGACCTCGGTAGCATGGGTGCTCAGCACGGAAAACAGGATCGACGGAAAACAAATCAAGGAAAAAAAAAGCTAGCCTCCGTGAGCTTGAGTTGGAGTACAAAGTTGCCCTTTCTGCAACAGAGAAATTCTAAAACTAAAACTAAAAAATTCATTTGATGAATATTGAAAACTAGCGATTAATTTTCTTTTTTATTCATTGTCTTCAATTTTGCATAGTTGTATCAGTGATCTTAACGGTAATAAGTCAAATACTCAACACTGTAGTAGTGAACACCAAAAACATCTGTCTGTACCTAATGTAGAAATTATACCTATCGATCTGATACTTAAATGAGTTTGAATGGTGAAAACAAGCAGTTGATCACAAAGATTGCTTTTTACCGCATACATCTTAAAAAGTTATCATAGGAAATAAGTGTAACACCATTTGGTTAAAAGGTAAGCATAACCTTCAGTTGTATTTCAATGAAATCATTTTTAAAGATTATTATTTTTAATTTTTTTAATACAGGAAGCAACATGAGTGAACGTGCATGTTTTATCAGGTGCATTCGGCCGTTCGAGGAAGTCAAGTGCTCGAAAGAGCTGAGGAATATTTCGAATATTACCATCCAGAAATTAAAATCGATTGGATATTCTGAAGCATCAGGATTGAATACTGGTTTTCGCATTTGCACGTCCTGTCGTCTTCGTGTTGATAAACAAGCTCTTTGCATCTCAAACGAGGAACAGCATGTTGCCGGAAGCTCAAAGATGCCAACTACAGTGATAGTACCTGTCGTACCGAGCTGTGAAAGCCTTACAACTATACCATCAATGACATCAGTTACTTCAGTTCAATCGTACCAAGAATTCACTCAACCAGTCAACATCGAGATATTCAACCGAGGCATTGCAGGAATCCAGGTATCACCGATAGACGTGGGAAAACTCAACTACATCCACTACCCCGAAAAGAAGCACCGTGAAATCAACGAAGGTATTAGAAAGAATCTTTTCAACTTCGAGCCTGAGGCTGACGAAGTGAATGAACTCAAAGAAGTTTTAGAAAACATGAAGGAAAAGTTTTCCAATGCATGCACTGCAAGAAGTGAAAAATTATTAATTTTATCGTTATTGCCTTATTCATGGTCAACGCAAAAAGTTATGGATCAATTTAATGCTAGTAGATATATTGCAACAGAGGCTAAGTTGATAAAGGAAGGTCATTCGTCAAAAACCGCAAAATATGGCACAGCCTTAAGTGATGAAACAAAATTGGCAGTCATAAATTTTTTTGAAGATGATGATATAAGCCGGACAATGCCTGGTCAAAAAGATTATGTGTCTGTGCAGAAAGAAGGAAAACGACAAACCATTCAAAAAAGATTACTAATGATGACTTTGAGAGAAGCTTATAAACGATTCAAACTCCGCCCTAAGCAATGTAAACTTTTAACCAGCTCTGTAACCCACAATGTTTGCGTGTGCACAACGCATGAAAACATCAATCTAATTTTACACAGTTTGAAAAAACTTAACCATTTAAATGATGTAAAAACGTTCACTGACAGCCTACTTTGTGAAAACAAGACAACATATTGCTATCTACGGTGTTGTGAAGATTGTCCAGACTCTTCCGCATTAGAAAACATTTTATTAAAACAATTAGAGGAAAAATGCATTGATCAGCTTTCATTTGAACAGTGGGTTACCACGGATATATGTGATTTAGAAACTATTGTAAAGCCTGCAGACGAGTTTGTTTCATTTTTCTGCTTGAAATTGACAAGTTTGATACCACATGATTTCATAAAAACACAGCAATCTATTTTTTTGAAAACTACACGAAATAATTTGCAAGAAGGTGAATTTTTAGTTACTTGCGATTTTTCCGAAAACTACAGCTTTGTGTTACAGGATGAAGTTCAGTCTCATCACTGGAATGTCCAACAAGCTACCATTCATCCATTTGTTATATATTTTAGAGAAAATATGCAAGTTAAACATTTAAGTTTTATTATAATTTCTGAAGAGTTAAGGCATGACTCAGTGGCTAGAACGTGTAAACTCAATCTGCGATCTAGGCGTTACGATCGATTCCAGGTTAACGTTTTGTGAACACATAAGCATCGTAACTGCCAAAGCATACACTGTGCTTGGTTTCATTCTTCGTCGTGCTTCTGGTATCACCGATGTGTATTGCCTCAAGAAACTATTCTGCTCGCTGGTTCTTAGTATCTTAGAATATGCTTCCCCAGTGTGGTCTCCATTTTACACTACGCACACTTTTACGATTGAACGGATTCAGAAAAGTTTCATGAGGTTTGCTTTACGTCAGCTCCCATGGAATGATCCAGTCGTTCTTCCTAGCTATCCAGACCGATGCATGCTGATTGATTTGAAATCTCTGTCAGCAAGGCGTATCAAATTGCAACACCTGTTCATCTTCGATCTAATTCCGGCAATGTGGACTGTCCCGAACTGCTGGAACGGATTCCATGGAACATTCCTCCGCGCAGATTTCGAAACTTCCATAACGGCTTGCAGCAGTCTCTTCGCGTCTGCCATCGGTAAAGACTAAAAAGAGATAGCAAACTATGCTCTCTCTTTCTAAAAAAACGATGTGCAATGGAATCATTTTTGTGTCGAGTCAACTCTCAGCTTGATTTTTGCACGTTGTGAATAGTCTCGCAATATCAAAGGAGCTTGTAAAATCAATATCAAGCATGATATTTTGTTCCAATATCACGCGTGATATTGCGAGCGCATGAGAGAGGAAAAATATCAATTGATTTCTGATTTTGCCAACACTGGTTTATAAGATGCCAACAAAAGTGGTTGGTTTTGGCAAAATGTGTGCCTTCCAAAGTTCTACAAATCCTTAGAATTATTAATTTACAAAAAAATCAATCAACAAAATGTCAATTGAAAAAATCAACAATTTTTTAGGGGTAAAATATGTTACTTATTCCAAATCAGTATTAAACTTTGGTATACAACATTAGTTTCTTGAACTAAGTTATTGAAATAGAATGCTTTACAAATTTTGTCGCAAATTGTGTTTGAATTTGACAAATTTAAATCAAATAATAAACAAATTTGTGTAATAATCCAACAATCTGGCATTTCTTCCATATGTTATATCAGCCGCCATTGAGGCTCAAGGTAAAACATATTAGAAATGGATGCACAATCTTTACATTCATATGTGTTCGTAATATAAATGAAATGGAAAAGAAATTATGCTAGGAATTCATTACATTTTCAAAAAGAACAAATCTAATGAACGGTTCAAAACAATTTCCAAACGAGATTAAAACGCTCAAAAAAATCAACACGTTACATAAACAGTTAACTCTTGCAGAATTAAAAACCTAATAATGTATATGGTATCACAACGGCCCGGACACCATACACTAAAATCATACCTGGCATCTACAACCCGTTTTCATTGTATTCGGCTCTCGTATCTGTTGTTCAGTTTCATCGTAGCCTATGTATAGTAAGCAGCAGACCTTCTCGTTTACACAAACAGACTGTGCGATTGCAGAATTCTTTATGTGGTTGTGAAGAAAGATTTGTTTATCATCGAAATTCCGAAAGTGCAGTTTCAAGTAATTTTGACAGTCAGTCAGTAGGTGTAAGGGAGCCGAACAGCAGTAGTGATTTCATATCAAGCTAGTCAAAATTTGGTACATCACGGGAACTATTTATTAAATTGAATATCACATCACAAAGGTAATGTAGTTAGCCCACTTGTTTCATGCGAACAAAGAACTTGCTGTATTTGGTCATTTGGAATTCAGCACAAGTTTATGCTGATTGACGATGTGTAGCAAGTAAATCCCACTATTACTACATTAGCATTAGGTGACCAACCGAGTTATCAGCACTCGGCCAGTTATCGTACACACCATTTGCTTATCAAGAACCTCCTGTGGCTAGTCAGGCTGCTAAAGCTAATGTTCATGTATTTATTTTCATTGTAGGTGCACGCATTTTACGGTAATCATTCGTCGTCATGTTAAAATCGCATTTACAGCTGGTCACCGGACCGGTGGATCGTGCCTTAGCTGGGAAAGCACCTTGGCAGATTGTGGCCATTACGACTAGTACGGTGTTGGGAGCGATTTGGTTGTGGGAACTGCTGAGCGAAGATGAAAGTAAGTACCAGAGAGTGTAGGTAATAAGCAGCAGCTTTATGCCGATAAGATAAATGTGTGTAGCATTTCAGTTGCACTTTGATCGCGGTCGGCACAGCTGTCCGGTTGTTTACGGAGTAAGCTTTGTATACTAATTTATTCGCAGATAAAGTTAGACGTACACATTTTGAAACATTTTTAATGACAAATTTACCTCGTAGTGCATAAATAACTTTAACGAACATTACGAAGATTAATGTAACATTAATTATAGGCAAATTCAACCTTAACGGGAAGCATACCTCCCGAAAAAATACGTTTTAAATTTTCTAAAAATATCAAAAATATAAAAAAAAAAAAGTTTTCTACATTTCTAAAAAAAAAAGGAGGGATGCATTAATGACGTAGCATTTTAGGGTGACCATCCATGTATAAAAATACACTACAAGTGGGAGGGGTTTAAATTTGGTGCTTCATAAAACGTAAACAAACGTTTAACGTTTGTTTAAGTTTCACGAAGCACCAACTCTGGTCCCCCTCTTCCTTGTAGCGTATTTTTCTACATATCTGATCACTCTTAAATGCTACGTAGTTCATGCTTCTTTCCTAAGTGTGAAATACACTAAAAAAAAATCACATTTCCAATGGAATGGAATTAGAATTTCACATAACTTTCATGTGATCTCATAATTGGGAATCGCACTACAAAATCACATGAACCTTAGGTGTCCAATGAAATTTATTTGATTCATCACATAGAATGCATGTCATCATATGAATTTTATGTGAAGAAGAACTTACGCCATTTATTGAAAATTGCTGGACAGTGACGTAGAAAATGTTCCGAGTCTTCTTTTTCCATGCCATAAAAGCGACATACATCATCTTGAAATTTTCCCATCAGCTTCAAGTGATAACTGCTCGGAACAATTCTAACATATATACCACCGGTATATATGTTAGAATTGTTTTTTAGAAAGTTTCAGGATTTTGTGGATCACAGAGCCTAGCAATGGAAGTGTACTTCCAGTTTTCCTCCACTTTTGATGATTCCCACGCTTTTAGCTCCATTCTAAGAGATGCAACCGATAAGCTACAAAAGGTCTTTAGCCCCACGAACTTATGAGAAGATCCGAGACCCGCAATGACCAGGAACCCAATATAAGTTGACTAGATTATGACAAGGCAATTTTAAAAGTGATTGAACGGTTCTGTGACACTACCCCGAATGTCACTACCCCGAATGTCACTACCCCGAACGCCGTTACCCCGAATAGTACACAACCCCGAATGCCCATTACCCCGAATGACCATTACCCCGAATCCATTTCCAAAAGCTGTAAGCTGTATTTTTGTTTATTATAGTCACTCCTGGAATCTTCCTTCGCATATATAAAAAGAAGAGAAAAACTTCTTAATGGGTCAAGGGGTTTTAGGAGACCTTAATGGAGCAAAGGGTTTTCCCTTGTTTGAAAATATAAGAAAAGGAAATAATTAATTCTTTGGATATACGATAAAGAAGGGAATATTTCCTTCTTTGCATATGTATAAAAGAGAACATCATTAATTCGTTAAATATATGATAAAGAAGGGAATATTCCCTTCTTTGGAAATATAACAAAAGGAAATAATAAATTCTTTGGATATACGATAAAGAAGGAAATATTCCCTTCTTTGAATATATAACAATATAAAATGACAAAAAAAAGTGATAAATTACTAATTTCATCATCTTTTCTGGGGAATGGTACATTCTGGGGAATGGTTTTCTGGGGAATGTTATAGAATCGGTGTAACTGGTATTATTAGCAGTAAAAACAAGCAGATTTTTTTCCAAAGGCATTATAAACCTTCACACAGCGATCTGGGTGTATGAGATTCACATGTTCTGCATTGAAGTTTCCCTCTTTAGTGACACTTCAACAAATGGATTGAAAATATGATAATATTCCTTCATAATCGAATATTCTAAGATGAGAATATTCCCATTTTCCTTCTGAAAGAACTGCTCATATTCAAAAGAAGGAGAAATATCCAATAAAGATTTCTTTTCCCTTAATTTCTTCATGAGCTGTTCTTTCGTATTAAATTGAACCATAGTTCATGAAAAGAAGAAAAAATATCCATTTATTTTCTAAAATTACTTATTATTATTTTTAACCATGTTCTGGTCCAATTAAGTTTGAAAGAATAGCTCATGATCAAAAGAAGGAAAAAATTCCAATTACTGTTTATTAAATTACTTTTTCTCCTTCTACAATTACATTCCAGTGTTTAAAAGTATGAAAACCTCAAAACTCCAAAGAACTGCTCATGTCTAAAAAAAAGGAAGAATTTCTCAACGGTGTTCCAAGAAACAAATCAAATAATGATGAATAATAAATGAACTGAAAACAAGCATACTGGTTTTGGATTATTATTCTATATATAAAAATGAAAATGCTTTAAACGGCTCAATACATTAATATAGGGAAAAGAGGGGCATAGTGAGCATCCTGTGCTTTGGGAATGGGTTTCTAGCTACTCGAAGCAAATTAATTGGTAGTTGGGTTAATCTCATATTAAATCTTCCATTTGCATGGTTTGAAATTTAAGGTGGGTTGCAATCTGCTCACTATGCTCAATATATAGTAAGAAAATTGCCAAGGTTGAAAAATTCCTAACTTTTTTTTTTCGTGGATATGGCATTCGGGGAAATGTAGCACAATCCTTATCCTTTTAATCGCATGCTGTTCTTCCGTTTGTCTTAATTTCGGGGTTATGGTCATTCGGGGTAGTAGGGTATTCGGGGTAACGGCCATTCGGGGTAGTAGGACATTCGGGGTAGTAGCTTTCGGGGTAACGGCGTTCGGGTAGTGACATTCGGGGTAGTGTCACGGAATCGATTGAACACACTCCCAGTTTTTAGAATCCCAAGATGTCCTCTAAGGTCTCCTTCAAAGAGTTCAAAGGATTACACCTTAGAGCACACTTTTCGGCTTCTACACTAAAAAAAGTTAACACGTTTGATCGAAGTGTTTAACCACTTGATTTTCCATAGTCGATTGCTGAATCTTTATTCTTTATTGGAAGCAGTGAAAAGCTCATTTGAGTGGAGCATAAAAAAACCTCATCTTTTCTTATCAACAGAACGTACATTCCAAATGATACAGTGTTAACTTAAAGACTTAACAAAATACCACCTTATTCTATTTCTTACTACTACCTATCATTTACTTACTGAAGTGCTCACGGAACCTATTTTTAATAATTGAACGTGACAGATGAAAGTCGAAGACATGGTAACAACAATTGAACACACGACACATTCTAATAAAAGGCTCATTATAGCCATAATTAGTACGGAATGCGTTATACGAATAATTTGGTGTAAACGGAGCGTACGACGACGAATAACAAAATTCAACTCACAGCAAGACAATCTACACGGTAAGAAAAAAGTACCCAAAGTAAGTTCTTTTCACTCATCTCGGCACTGTAGTGCAGGAACCCAAACGTAGGTAAAGCGGGTCAAAGCTAAGAGTAAGAGAAGACAACTGGCTTCTTACTCTTTTATCTCTATCTCTATCTCTATCTTACGCACTTCAAATCGGCCAATTCACGAGCTGGTTCGCGTTTGACAGAAAATTGGTTCATTTTCGCCCCCGTACTGTCTCCTCTTCCTCTTAGGGTCAAAGTAGTTGTAATTTACTTGTGTGCAATTCGTATGGAATTTTCCACTCGCTTTCTACCCAAAAGTAAGTTATTTGTATCCAAAAGTAGGTAAATATGATTATACTCAACGTTGGGTTTCCACACTTTACTTGATTTTGCTCCTCCGTTTTTGAATAACATTAGCAGGAGAAAAGGAGACAAATTCCGGAGAACTTAGTGTTTGTTTACAAAAGCAATTACGCCCTAATCTCGAAGTTCTCCGGAATTAATCAAAAGTACAAAAAAGTGAACTGGCCGTTGGATACTTTTTTCTTACCTGTATGTGAGATCATTGAACAACATCCGATATGAAAGAAGCCTTAGCGACATTCATACGAACCTTCAGATATGGATCATCCCAAGGCAAACGCCGAAGAGCAAAGCGAATAAACTTATGTTGGATAGCTTCTACTTGCTGTGTGCTGTTCTGATAGTAAGGAGCCCAGACCACAACTGTAGAGCGAACTAAGGAACAATACAGGGTCTTTAAACAGTGAATATCAGAGAATTCGTTTGCAGCAAGAAAAATAAAGCCCATGATCTTTAAAAGTAAGATTCGAATCTAAGAAAACACCCAAATCCTTTACAGTACATTCTCTCTTTAGAAATGTTCCGGCAATGGTGTAATCAAATGAAATGACAGAACCACAGACAAACAGACATAACTCATTGAATATTTCTCGCCGTAAAATATCGTCGCTAATACATTACAGCCATCTGTTGAGTACACTGTGGTGGGTAGTACGCTGAACAGATGGCGGTAGTGCGTAAACGTCAAACGCAAGGGAATTGACTATGCGGCGCGCAGATGGTGGTACTACCAACTACGATACTTTTAAATTGACCGTTAAATGCTTGTTCCATGAACAACTTGCAAGTGTTATGCCTTTGTCCAAAGGATATTACTGAGCATTTGTTGGCATTCAAACTTATGCGATTAGATGCGCATCATTTGGGAAAAAAAGGTTTAATTCTGTTTGAAGGAAATGTGCATCTTCTTGACAGGTTGACATAAAGGGTGTATTCGATAAAAACGGCACACACATATTTACTTACCAAAATTAAACCGATTATCGGAATTTCTTGAAATTTTCAGGGAATGAAAAACTACTAATGAGTTACGATTTACAAAATTTGTTTTATTCAATTTCGTCTCCCATCCCGGATGCCCGCATCTTCCTTTTCACTCCATCCATCATATTTGGTACAACCGATTTTCCCAGTGTTGTTGTTGTTTTTGACCAATTTTTCTTCAACTCCAGCTCTGTTTTAACAGTTTTGGGATGTTTGCGAAGTTCCGGCTTCATAATTACCCAGAATTTTTCAAT